GTCTGTTTTACCAACAAGCTCAAGGATGGAGACGCTGGCTGACCGACTTCCAGCTGTAAGTGCGGTACGGGTCATGTTTTACCGTTTCCTTTGTAGGTTGTTCAATGTGGTGTTAGCATGTAGCACAGGGATTATGTGGTTAGCAGGCCAGGGGCAGTGTTGTACTAATGTAATATTGAGGGACAGTAAAGAGAAACTGTAATAATGACAGTAGTTTGGATGCCACCAGCTGTTTGTAATGTTGCTTTTTCTGTAACTTCACACTTCAATGCTAACGTTATCCACATGCTGTGACGATATAGCTACAAGTGAGGGAAAAAACGGTGAAACTGAAGGAATACATTTTCTTGGAAACATTGTGTAACTTTGATTAGCACGCAGCGGTTACGTAAGCTACTGTAGCTCATAGCTACAAACAGTGGGGCTGAAGCAGATGAGTGCTGAGAGGGAGGGAGGAGCTCAGACTGAGTGTTAGACAGGGTGGAAAGAGGTGCTGCAGCAATGGCCAGTATGACTAAAATGATGTGTTTTTTAACTTAAAAGCATGTAAACCTTTTGTAGTAGGCCCCCAAATACAAATATAAACCTGAAATTGAGCATAAAATTGCTCATTAATAACTTAAATCTAAATCTAGGTGTGAAAAGATATTTTTAGTTAACTGAAATAAAAACAACAAATCCTTACTAAAACAATATTATGTTCTTACAAAACTTAAGTAAATGGTTTTTTTTTTGTTAACTAACAAGCATGAGAAGGCATTGGTGTAAGGAGACTGAGGTGTGTTTGAAATTAATAAAAACTAAAACTTTACATTTTGGAATAATAGAAAGTGAACCCTCTCTGGAAACTAACTGAAAACAAGTAAAAAGTGAAATAGTATTATAAAACTACAATAACTGGTATGTGGTGTGTTATGTGAAGTGAAATGAGTCAATATACAACACAGATGAACATTTAAACCCACAGTTTTTATTTGGATTCTAAAAACTATATTGACATGATTGACAACATAACCCGGCTCAGAAAGTCATTTCTAATTTAAAAAAAGGAACCAAAATAAATAAAAAGGATTATGTCATGTTGTTGTGGTTAATGTAGCTGTTGTAGAGCGTTACCACAGAGAGATGAGTAAACTAGAGTGAAAAGATGAGCTGGGTCTAACTGGATGTAGACTGCAGTCAAAACACAAGGACACACTGAGTCTTCCCACAGGCGGGTTCTGGCTGCGGGAGTAGTTCCTGCTGTCACTTTGGTCCGTCTGTTCCTCGGGGGGAGATTATTTTAAGATGCACAAGGTCACCTTAAACTTTAGGATGTATGGTCATGATGTTGGCTGTAGACTTTTCTTGCTTACTAGACCTCCAGCAGACTAATAATGGATGCTGCCGTCTCTAGAAACGGACACAGCAATGACTCAGTGTATCTGCCTGTAGGTGTGATGGCAGTTAAACACAGGAGCCTACAGATACTTTAGCTTGTTCTTTAACATTATGAGCATGCTTATTAATACTGTAGATCAGGCAGCTACTGTCAGGGGATCACATCAATTAAAAAAAAAAGTAAAATATTTAGTGAGAACCTGACAATCATTTAAAACTTGGATTTATGGTTCACAGGAAAGGTTTTTGTACCATCCTGTGATTGTCCACTTAAAAAGCAACGCAACACCACAACAATAATTGTTTTAAGCAAAAAAGTCTCTTGTTCCGGCTGGTTTTCTTAGCCTTATATGATAGTAAATTGAACCGTTGGTCATATAAAACAGGTTCAAAGACATGAGGGGCATTTCTTTATTATTTTTTGTATTGATCAAACAAATCGATCGGAAAATAATCGTTAGTTGCAGCCCTACTTCCTACCTTGCTGCAGATGTGATGCAGTAGTGTACTCAAGGGTACGACAGTACACCATGACATCATTTGGGTGTGGTTACAGGTGCAACCCTTGAGCTGCCCAGAGAGTGCATTAAAACCTTGTCCTTCCTTTACTGTTTAAGGTTTGTGAATGCACCAAATCCCCAAAACTTACCAAATATAATTAATAATACTTTATTAACTAATATTAGTATGTTTGGCATCTTTGATTCTGTATATTTAGGTGCCCCAACTCGTCACAATTTAACGAACACAACAGGAGTCCATTAAGCTAGCAGCAGGCCAGTCAGCAGAACCCAGCACCAGGAAGACTTAATATGTGTGAAATTTATTATGACTGTAACCTTGGTCCAGAACATCCCACCACTGTGGGCGAGCAACACAGTAAAATCCAACCAGCCTTTAAAAACCAGCCCAGAGTCTTCCTCTTCCACTAACACACCATTTCCACTCTAACATTAACGGTTGATATTGAGTAACCATGTTTACCAAAAAAAAATAAAATGACTGAGGGTTTACTTGTACATTTTTCAAAAGAAAAAAAAAAAGAGCATTAGTCACATTAATACAGAAATAAACAAATGGCACATTGAATTCCTAATTTAAAAATAAAGTGGTGCTTGAGGAACTTTCTTACTGAGGAGACAAGTTAAATAAATTACTACCATAACGTTACATACAAATCTGGAGTAGTATATACAAAGGAGTTATTAGACACAAAAAAAATCTACAATTTCAAATTTTATGTTCAACAAAGACAGCAGTAGAACCTTATTTTACATAGCAGGGTTTGTGTTAACAAGTGTGGGTCAGAGTGGTTTGTGTGTGTGGAGGAGAGGGGTGAATAGAGGTGGGGGGAGGCAGTCTGACAAAGCATTGACATTAAAATAAAAAAAGTGACGATGTTTGAAACCTTCCAGCTAAACGTACTGTTTCTCTACAACTCTAACCGACGTAGACTCATCTAAGCACAGGCAGTAACAAGTGCCAAACTTAAACACTGGTGTCGACACTGGTGGACTGTTGATGCAGACAGGTGAAGTGCGTCTGAGCAGCATCAGATTCATAGCTGACACACCGAGTAGAGAATGTGATGGAACATTCTTTCTCTGTGACCAGCTCTGACGTTCGCATGACTTTACCTGTCATTAAAGGAAAATCCTGGGATTTTTCAACTCTAAGGCTTACTTCCATAATTGACCCTTCCTATGTCCCGCCTCTTTTTGCTCTGTGCTCCAATAACAGTTGAGCAATCCTCCCTCAGAACCTTGCTCAACTTTCTCCATTGCTATGTGCTAGGCTTATCTATGTTGACAAAACAACCAAATTTTGAGGACGGTTAAAAGATAAGAGATAAATATAGTCACATCTTAAGTTAGCTTATGTTATCAAAATGCTAGCTAGCTAGAAAATCTACATCCATCCATAGCTAGCTAGTTAGCTAGTTAAAGTTTTGCTCTGTAGCAAAAGCTAGCTAATCTAATAACTACTTTTAACAAAAAAGCTAACTAATTAGCTAGCTAACAATTTATGTAGATAAGCTAGCAAACAAAATGTTTTTTTTTATGTTATCGTCCTCTAGGGAAATTCAATCAGGATATTTTTTTGTAATCTTGCTGTATGTGAAACGATAAGCAATAAACGTTTGAGTTCTGCAGATAAATGGGTAAAACACAAGTTGGCTAACCATACAGCTAGATAGTTCAGGCAGCTGGATGCCTGGCTTACCAAACTAGCTTGCTGTTAGCTACAATAGCTAATATATGAGGGCTAATTTCTGTGTTTACCTTCGTGATCCATAGTCATAACAGATGGAGGTTGAAAAACACCAGAATTTTCCTTTAAATAACATCTAGTTTCTGACACTTTGAGCACTGTGGTGAGTCAATGTCCATCTCTAAAAACTGTGGTCTCTCCAAAGCATCCCATAATATCACTCTGTTCATTAGTATCCCTCCTCTTTATCTCCTACCTTCCAGATCTCCTTCTATAGATTGTGTTTAAGACATCACTACAAAGTAAATCCCTCCTTTTTCCTTCAGCATCCCTTAAAAATCTGAATGTTAATAGTGGTTGTACTGATTAAAAACACAGGTGAAGAGTTTAGCTTAGTGAGGGAAGTTTTGTCTACTTTGTAAACACTCTCAGTGAAAGTTCACCGACACACTCAATACCTGACGCACTCCAATCTCCAACTGGCTCTCCTGGTTTGATCTCTACGACTGATTCATGGCTTTCACAGTATATCACCACCTGCTGAGGACAGCTGGTGGGCATTGATCTCTTTCTGGTAAAAATTTGAGATTTTGGAAAACAAAAAAAGAAGAGGAAATCCTTCATGAACCGTTGAGGAGCCCTCCCCCTCCCTCCCTCCCTCCCCTTTGCAGCTGCAGCAACACACTCAACTTCCTCTAAAACGTCCCCTGAATATTACTGCGAATGGGCGACACCAGGCAGTGAGAGGCAAAGAGAGCAGAGACCTCTGAGGACCAGGAGGAAGAGCATTGGCTGTCGGCGTTGTGTGTTCCTCAGGGTTTTGGTCCGTCAACCCGCCAGTGCGTGTTTCTGATCTTTCTCCTGAGCAGTCCGAGTCCTGTACGTAGCCGGGCCGATGGGCGACTGCAGCTCCTCCGTCATTCCTCCTTGGAGTGTCTTAAAGGGGCGAGTGGGGTTAGTAGGAGGGAGAGCGGGTTGTGGTTTACAGTTGGAGGGTCTGGAAAGATCTTCATGCTGGTCCAAGCTGCAGGGCGCCACCAGAAATGCAACAACGTGCTTTAATATGCATTGTTTGTGTGCGTACGGACATCGAGCGCACACAGTGGTCAGACTGTCGGGGAGGTGGGAGGCTGCAGCAACTTGATGAGACGACAGCGAGTGGTTCTTCAGGGACACTTGTTTTTTTTTCTTTTCTTATTTTTATAACAAAAACACTGAAACGTTGTGACGCAAGGTTATTAGTTCAACACTAGCGAACAGAACAGAGCTTAAGTGGTGAAAGGCCCCTTCCCCTCTCCCAGTCCGCTGGGATTGGTCGGCAGCGATGTCCGTCAGGTGCCGCAGCACTGCTCATTCGTTCCTGGTTGCATTGCTCCTTAAAGAGTCCCGCCTCCTCTCTAGGCGTCTGACAGGCAGTTCTGAACACTGTCCATCCACAGCTGGGCGTTCAGGCTGTCCTGGGCACAGAAGTTGTACACTCGTTTGGTCGTCTTGAGCTGAAATGACAGGAAAGAAATGAATTCCACCATGGTTAATTGCCTTTAAATGATAGTGACTCCTGAAGAGTGACAAGAAAGAGGTGAGAGAGAGGCATTCAGCTTAAAAAGGACACCGTTTGTGTGTATCTGGTTTCACTTGTTGACTGCTATATGTAGCACAATAATCTGGTGCCATGACTTTCTCCTCACTCAATAACTCCCAAAATTGTGTTTAGGGGAGTCTGGGGGTAGTGCAGTCACTAGTTCAGTGGTCAAATCAACTCAAACACAGTTTGTGTGTTCACAAACATCTGCTGCTTATCTCAGCATGCTCTGTGTACTGAGAGCACGTCAGCTGAGTAGGCGTTCGTTCTATGTGGCCCAGGATGCATTAGCGTTTACACTACAAAAGATGTGGTCAAATGCGTTCCAGACCAGGAAGTGGTTTGAGTGATCACAATGCGTCTCGGCGGGCGTTTCCGCTTGTATTTAGAAGTGTCCACTTGCGATCGTATCACCAAGCCACATGTTAATCCCAGCTGTAGACAGGCTCAGAGTGACTTGAAGTGAATGTGAACTTACATCAAAGAAGGCCTTCTCCTCGATGTTTTTTGGCGCTCCCATGGTAGGCGTTCCTGGAATAACGGACTCCACCTCAGCAAGCTCGATCACCCCTTTACACTCCTTGTCCTGCCTGCTCTCGTAGTATCTCAGCTGGGGACAGGGACACATTGTTAAAGACAGACACTTCTTAATAGTTTAAGGAAGAAGGGCCAAAGCCGAAACTTCGTAGTGGGCCACAGGGCAACAGCAAATACCCAATGTATTCTTAAGATTCAAAATGGTACCAGGATCGCAAGGTCCCTTAACTTCCTGTGCCAAGTGTCACTATCCCCACTATGCTGTTAAGAAAAATTACTAACCTCAAGAATAATAAATAAATAAAATTTTAACTTTTTTACTAGAAACATTCAGCAGCTCAAATCCAACCTTATGGCAGGCCGCCATAAAAATATTTAGCTCTATAAGGAATGCGATCATTGTCCAGGTTCATTCTAAGCACCCCTCCATCTTACCTGATGTTTGGTCTTGTCCAGCACAAACCACCGTGGTTTCCATGGTTTCAACAATGCTCCTTTCTTATACAGGATGCCTTCAAAACTCCTGGTGGGAGAGAGTCAAAACTAAAATTAAAACATGTTTGACATTGGATTTCTCTGAAAGATAGTTCAACTGTTGACCAAACAGCCGCGCTGCCTTATAACTGTTGCACACATAATGTGGAAAAGTCCACACACCAAGTGATGTGTTTGTCTATTTAATGTATACAAATGAAGCCTCTGTGTCTGTTTTCTCAGTTGTATCTGTCACTCACAGATAGTTTGCCCGTCAAAGAGCAGTGAGCCATGTGGCGTCTTTCTCAGGGACGTTTAAGTGGGGGTGGCTTTGTTTAAAAACACTACAAATCCTCACACAGACCAGCTCTCCTCTCAGTGCCTTGGTAAAGAGCCAGGAGTACAGACCTGTTCTCGCTCTCCGTGCTCTGGAACTGGCTGTAGAGCGTGCTGGTGCTGGGCCGACCGGCTACAGGCGTGGAGGTGGCGCTGGCCTCGCACTCCAGAGCCAGGTTGATGGAGGACCCCACGCCGCTCTCCTGCAGGTAGACGCCCTGAGAACGGCGCTGGTGGCTCAGGTTGGACGACATCAGCAAAGAGCTGGAAAACGAAGGCTGAGGAACAAAGACGGACGGAAGGACAAGCTTCAGTGAGTTTGAACCAATGAACCAGTGGGAGTGCTTTCAAAGACTCACCGTTAGAAATGACTTTTAAAACACTCACTTAATTTAGCCATTTCCACTCAACAATATGCCAATAATCTAAAGGCTTCAGTATGCTTTAAAAATGCACTTTATTTGTACTTCAAACATACAGACAGCACGGAACAGTCCTTTATGTAATTAACTGCATTCTGCTTGTCTACCACAAGATGTCAGTGGAAAATTGTTACCACCATCTGTCTTCATCTTAACATTCAATTTAAAACAGCCTGTCAATCAGGTGTTCAGTGTACATACACTGGTTCCATGGGGACACAGCTGATGGCTGTAGATCAGTAACTGCTGCTCTCTGACACAGAGCTGCACACAGCGTGGAATGGAGGAATTTCAAACACTAATATAGCAGCAAACTATTTTATGAAAAGATAGATTGGAGTCATGGTGTCCTCAGCAGATGTGCCTCTGTTTCCAGCTGAGCTGAGTGACTGAAGCTGCTGTTTTTCTCATCTAACTCTGTGAATTAAGAATTTCTTTTTACCAAATCAGCATCAGTGATTGTTGAAAAGACTAACAGATGGTTTTATTTATGGAGTCTGGTCAACTTGTCAGTGAAACTCTGAACTCTGTTCCCTACAGGCTGAGAATCTGTTCACTCAGAAATCCAAAACTTCAGTGTGTTGGATCTGCAACCTGATCTTCTGAGAATTTTTACAAAAGATTGTACTTGAACAGAACATTTACTGTATTCCTGTGCAGTTCAGTAGAGAGATCTTCTTGGGTGCTAAAATAAAACCCTTGGTCTCACCTTGCTCTCCAGTTTGGTCTCAGTTCTCTGCGTGGTCTTGATTTTGTCCCAGGTGTCCTTCCACTTCTCGGACGTCTGGCCGAGCTCAGCCTCCAGACTCTGCAGGTCCTGCAGCAGCTTGGTGATGGCGTCAGGCACCACCTTGCTCAGGCTGTCGTAGCACGGCCACACAACGTGGCGCTGGGATTTGGGGCCGCTGGTGTCGGGTTTCTCTGGCGTCTCCTCCGCCACGCGCTCCTGCCGGCCCCTCAGCTCCCAGTCGTAGGAGGGCCCCTCCGACAGAGTCTCCTCCATGTAGAAGTCCCAGACCTTCAGGTTAGAGATGAAGGTGTACGGCCGCAGCACCTGGAACACACAATTGTGTTTCAATGCTCCTATGATGCTGATGATGACTGAATAAACGTGAATGTGTTAAATGTTGGCTGGTGGGTCTGTTTGTACGTGTTGCGTCCTGTTGGGTGTGAGTGCAGTGGGCTCACCTCCTCATCCTCAGGAGAGAACATGTAGTTGTAGAAGATGGGCGTTTTCTTGTTGAGTCTGTCGATGTAGTCCCACACGGACTTACACACCTGGGGGCTTTTCCTCTCACCTTTCTCCTCATACAGCACTCCTGCACACACACACACACACACAGGATTCGTCAGGAACACACACACACACACGCTGTATCTATGACTGTGTTGCTTTGAATAAACCACACCCTGTAGACTCTGAGATGTTCTTACCCAGCTCTATGCGCTCGTAGTCGGAGTCGAGCAGGAAGGTGCGGAAGCGGTTGGACACGTAGTGGTAGGCCAAGAACTTCAGGTAGTACTGACTGAACTCAAACTCCATGGGGAACTGGAGGTGGATCTGAGGGTGGAGGGGCAGAGAAACAGGTCAGGGCCACAGTTTAAAGGGATGCTGACAGCCAGTGTGCACAGCGTTGTGCAGACATGGACAGATGAAGTAATGTATGTCCCACAGACCCCTACAGACCTGGATGCAGGAACTATAAACTGGCTTTAAGATGGAGATTTCCTGCAGGTTTGAAGGCACCTACAAATCCTCTAAAACTCTGTTTGTCTCCGAGGACAAAAGTGGTCTTTTCAAAGGAAAAGCAACGGCAGTGACACTACTAAAGCTTGTACACATTCTATTGTATGTCATCTATTTATTACTTAACAGATGTATATAAGAAATCCATTCAATAGAGCCTTTCACACTGCCTATAAGCATAGCCCTGGGATAAGAGTTGACACACTTTTAACCCAGAGTTAACCTAAACCCAGGGCTAAGCAGGAGGCAATACAATTCACACTGCACTTCTACTAGCCCTGGGTTGGAACACGTGACACAATGTTTACAGCAAGTTGGGGTTAGAATGTGCCAGGAATGTGTCAGTGTGAAAGCATTCGTAGCCTAGTGCTAACAGCTACCTTAGCCTGGGGCTAAGAAGGTTCTAAGACTGCTTTTAGCTCTGGGCAGTTCAGTGTGAAAAGCCCTCATGTGTAACGGCTACCAGTATAAATGGCAACTGTTTGTCAGTGTGTTCTTTCAGTTGCACCATGCCTCTCATTCTATTCTTCATAAAGATGCTATTTTCATACAGCACAGAGAGCGGAAAAAACAATAACATGGTCATCTGCTCTGATGTGGCGGACAGCAGAATATTTAGCGGTGGTTAAAACTCTGAAGCTAAATGAAACCACACTTCCTGCGCGTGATACGAGGGCAGAACTCACGTCAGTAATCAGCAAAACAGGAAATACAGGCAGGCTCACAGGTAAACACACACAGGGCATTATACATATATATAGTAAGAGGAAAGAACAGCGGGCCACTGACCTTCAGTTAAGACATATATATCATACACTGCTTATAGTCTCAGCTCTTACTAATACTGCGTTGTTGATGTGTGTTTAGTTGCTCACTGTGCAATTATCCTGTCAAGTGCTAATTCCTTGTACATGGACTCAATCAGAGTTAACTTTTTTTAAAAGTGCTATATTTAGAAGTAGTTTGAAAGCATATCTGAATGGCAGCCATGAAAGCACTCAGGATGTCCACCAGAAAACCGAGCTGTACGTCACATTCATTCAGTGGTTTCCTGGAGTCAGAAATCATCCTGTCAGCACTGTCCTTCCACTGACCACTGACCTCACACACAGCTGACCCACCTGGTGTACACAGTCCAGGAACTGCAGGAAGACGGGGGTGAAGCCACTGCTCTGGCTGCCCAGCGTCTGCGCTCCACGGTGGCTGAACCTGTGCCCGAACGACAGCCACTCCTTCTCCACCAGCAGCCGGAAGCCGTCAAAGGTTCGGTAGTACGGATCAGAAAGCAGCTGCACCAGGGACACGACCTGCACACGCACACACACACTGTGTCACAGCATGCCTCGCTACAGGGAATCAGCTCCCAGCAATAACGTTTCTGAGTGTCAGTCAAACCTGCGTGGTGACGTCCCAGCCGTCCTCCAGGCTGACCATGACCGACGAGCCCGTATCCAGAAGCTCCACCACCAGGACGGACACCTGCAGCACCCTGTGTAGCTGAACACACACACATGCAGAGTTAGTTTAAAAACTACAGCTCACAAAATAAGCAGGCTGGAGCAGCAAGCACTAACCAGAGCCATCCACTCGGACTCCTCCAAGCAGCGCTGGAAGCTCATGTTGGGGTCAGAGGTCGGGGAGCTTGGCACGCAGGCCTTCATCAGCTTCTTGAAGCTGTTCTTCACCTGCCGCACGTCACACACCTCGATGGGAACCACCTCCCACTGCTGGAACGAGTCCTGCTTCCCTCCCTGGACACAACAAGATAATACTGAGAACTCCCAACCAGAACCTCATTCCAGAGCGGATCCATGCACTCCTTCTCTCCTTAATCACAGTGGACATCCACATTCTAAACATTCATTAGCGTGTCGCTGGTTACCTTGAGCTGGGCCTTGTCTCCAATGATGTAGAGGTAGGCCTTCTGCTGGCGAAGAAACAGAGCCTCACTCGGCCCTCCGTTGGGCTGTGGAGACTCTTTCCCTGCCAGACGTGTCCCCACGTCTGGGTTGTAGGCACTTAGACGCCCGCTGCCCCGGATACTGCCCCACTTACCTGCGATTAACACACACAGAACATATAGAATCTTCAAGGGAACCATGACACTGAATCATCAAACCTCATGTGTTAAACAGTCATTAAAGGATCTTTCCGGTTTATTACGAGCCAAGTTGTAATAAAGCGGAATGATCCTTTAAAACACACTGATGTGTGTACCGTCCACAGCTGCTGATAGCCATGCTGGTAAACAAGGCAGAACACTACCCGGTCCAGTTTGCTACATCTGGCTCAATGACAGCTACATTCTGATGAAACAGTCGATTCTGACTGCCGCTGACATTCAACAGAGAGAAGAAGAATCAAACAGGAAACAACAAACAGGACGTCAGACAGCAGAGCTGCTACAGCAGCAGCATGCACATACAGCAGCTCTCTGCTAAACACAAGCAATAACAGAGTCCATTAGTCCGCAGAGACAGCACACTATCAGTCAGGAACCACGGCAAACACAGTGAAGCTACTGGGAAACAGATCTGATTGGTTAGACAGGAGGGGAGGGGGCGGGGCCTACTGTACCTCTAGGAGGGTTCCTGGCCTTGCCAGACACTTTGGGCTGAGAGAGGGAGATGACTTTCGCCCTTTGACCCAGAGCTGAGGTCAAACGACAAAGACGGCCCGTTAAACAACAACACCACACAGTGGAGGATGGTTTCATATTCTCTCTCTCTCTCACTCTCACACACACTCTCACACACACTCTCTCACACACACACACACACACACACACACTCACACACACACACACACTCTCACACACACTCTCTCACACACACA